AGGTTTCGAGTTTCAATTGTTTGCCATGATATGTACACAACAGATAGATATGCAATGCATACACACATTTATACAAAGTTCCTAACTTTTACTGGAATTATTTCAATTTAATCGGATCGTCGACCAATGCTTATTCGCCGAAAATAAATGAAACCAATTAAACCTAATCACTGAATTTAGTAGTAATCTGCAGTGTGACCACATGATAATATACATAATGATATATAATACCCGAGGCTAAATTGATTTTGAAAAACTGTTAGAAAGTTTATATCCTGTAAAAAGTTAAGTTAAAAAGAAATCATTATATTCAACCCCAAAAACCCCTCACTAGTCCGACGAAATCAGCAACAACGATGTTCTTTTCGAAACACAATTGGGGTATTCATAACGGTGTCGTAAGCGTCGTATTGTTGTATGCCATAAACTTGAAACGCCTAAAAAATATATTAAGGGGGTTCGCAAAGTATCATCAAAGTCACATTATGAACTTTTGCGGTGTTAAAAAATAGTTGGTTTTCGTTTCAAGTTCCCCTAACATTTATTTAAGCTTTTAAAGTTTATGGCATACAACATTACGACACTTACGACACTGTTGTGAATCCCTCAAATATAACTCTCATCAGGCGAATAACCACTTTACTACTTCGAGGCATGCAATAGCAGTAAGTTAACAAATCAAATGTTGTTGCTTTTTATACTTTTAGGAGCTAAGAATTACAGCCAGTTTCACGAAAGCACTTTAACTGAAAAATCATTTTTTTATTTGAATGTACATATTATGAAAACCAGCAAAAGGGAAAACATCATTTTTGATTTAAATTGATAGTCAAATCGGCGGTTAATTTTCTAAACTAAAGTTTACTTTATATTGACAATATATTTTTCGAAATATCAAGAACTATGACTACTAAAGTATGCATTTTTTATAAGTTTCAGTGCGAATTTAGTTATTAATATTTTAAGTAAAAAAAAATTTGAAAAAGGCTGGAGGTTAGACCTAACATTATATGGCTATAGCATAAAATTAAAAGCTAAATATGGCCTCAAAAGAATTAACCTGGTCACACTGGCAATCAGACTTCCTGATTTAAGCTAGCGAAAAAATTCAGCATTTCGGTTCATCAGTCACAGCCTTCTTTATTTTTCACCTTGTTTCGCGCTAAAATCATTATCATCCTCGCAGTATTTTGCTTTTTTCACGTTCAAAGTATGTGTAGGCGCGTTGCTTTGGCAAAATGGGTGTTCCGGCGGGCACCTATAAGAGCTTGAAGGTAGTTAGAGGAGTATAATGGGAGAGTGAACTGTTGCTTCGCTACCAAAACAAAAATAGATTTTTTGTGCAAATAGTAGACGAAGCGCCAAGATATACAGCGGTGAAAATGGGCATGCATGCGAATGACAGGCGTATAGAAAAGCTATGTAAAACCAACGAAAAGCATTAATGAATGAGATGAATTCGGCATTTTCCTCAATGAAAAGCTCAAAAGGAAAGCTTTATTTCAAATACATACTTATGTTTGCTTCTCTATGAGTAATGGTAAAGTGAGCTCACGCGTGTTTATGTGTGTACATAAATACGCATACCTATGCTTATACAGAGATGAGAATGCCTATGCATGCACAATTTAGGAAAAGCGTCCGTACACTCGTTAATAAAAGCTCATTTTAAATTAAATGTCTTAATCTCAAGACCGGACAAGAGCAAAATTTTTTCCGCATATACTAAATTACGAATGACATACGGAGAATATGTGCATACTTAAGCTCAATGGGCTGGCTGTGTGTCCTTCCCCAGTCCAACCCTCTATTTACCCCTCTTGCACAAATATATATATATCGTCACTAGACATGAATAAAGGCGTGCCATTGTTTTGAAGGCGAAAAAGGACGCATTGACGAAAAAAGACGGGTAGTCATAGATAGTCACTTCAGCATTATTCTCCAAAAACTTTTTAGGGAATGTACATTAGGGACACGAAATTCGATACGATACGATACCATATCGATATTTTTGCCATTCGATACCGATACTTTTTAATAGATAGTTTTCCAACGATTTTTTTTGGGAATCGAGTGCCAGAACCCTGGTATCGTATCGAATCACAAATGTGCATAACAAAGTTAATGTGAGTAATAATATAAAATGAAAAGTCTAATTTTTTAAATTTAATTCGGAATTGGGCAAGCCTATTTGTATACAATTTTTTGTAGTAATATTTGAAATATTTAAGGTTAAATTTTCCAGTTCAAAAATGTTAAAATCTGTTCTGATTTTTTATATCAGCCGAAGAATCTGACGTGACGTTACATGACGTTACGCTACTTAAATTTTTATTGAAACTTTTTTTGTTAATATCGGTTTTAAACAAATTTTTAGCGCAAATAAAACATGAATTTTTATGTCTAATATATTTTTCATATATATTTCAGCACTACGTAGCAGTTCCATTTTTTGAAAATGTATGTCATACTATGGATTTCCGCTGGAAAAGCCCATATGGCTATACTTTGGAATTTATATGTAAAGCAATATGGATATAGTTGGGCTATAAAGAGCACAAATGTATACTGACTTAGGTTGGCATGTGGCGGGATTTCAACCCGCGCCTTAGCTCAACATAAGCTAACACTTATTAAAGTTCAAAGTGTTCATTCTTTATTAGTAAATGAGATCAATATCAGTATTCAGATATAATTTC